AGTTTGCACTTATTCCAGATTTGGAGATCTGGATAACTCGCGCTGAGAAACTGAAAAGCCTAACTGTCCCTTATGACCATGTGCCATAATTTTTCATGATTCTTTTCAGAGTAGTTAGATGTGCTCAATCCGATTCAGGCCGTAGCCTTATGGCTCATCATGGCCGCATCCAAAACAGTAGGGAACCGAGAGTAACGTGGGTACGTTTCCGGACAGACCACTTCTTGAAATTGTGTTATTTGAACTCGTTAAAAAAATCCACTTTTATTTGGGCTATATTACGTATAACTATCTTTCACTGCTATATAAACCCTTTGTATTTCTCTACACTGGTTTTCTCTTGGTAGTTTCGAAGAGAAGTAATTTTTGTTCTCTTTGTAAGCTCACCATTCGCTGTAACCCTGAAAAATCTACATAAAAGTCAAAAATAAGAAGCTCTCCGTCTCAAAACTATTAATAAGATTGTCGAAGTGGATAGCGTGGTTGAAAATCAATTTTTCATTTTAGGTCCCATGGATTCTGATCGACAGTGTTCGGGAAAAAGAAGCTGAACGGTCACTTCAAAAGGTGCTTTGCAAGCGCTACTTCAGGCCTCCACCACCGGAATGCGCCGTGTTTGGATCGACATCATCTGAGCAATTGTAATGTTAGTAAATAGTTTCATTGAAGAGCTTTCTTTGAGCATTGGTTTCCCTAATAAAATTGTGTTTGATGGAAAGGCTCGAAAAATCGCATAGCACACGGTACTTACACCTTGTATATAATATCATGTGCTGAGCAGGCCAACAATGAGGCGCCCATAAAATTAAGGACGAAGTTGCGATTTGTCCACTGGAATGAAACCTTCAGCGAGTGGGATAGCGCTGTCTGTGAAAATCTCAAATCACCCGCTTTCAGTTTTGCGCGCGCCAATGGGGCTGGGGCTCTGAAAGTGGTGCCTATTAGTGGCGGTGACCGGCTCTCCCATTGCTATGCAGCGGTCGTGTGTCTGCACACTCTCGTACGGCGTGGTCTCTCGCGTATGCCTTCTCTTCGGTGCACGGTGTCTCTCCATGGCGACACAGTCGACCCAAGAGAGGCATATTTTTGTTCGTGTTCAATGACGGTCCCTTTTCAACTAAACGTTAACCTTTTCTTTTATTTGAAGAATGAACACAAGCTTCGTTTCTATGTTCCGAAACGCAGTTAAAATTGTCGTCCAAACTGCGAAAACCCACAAACTACTCGCCTACCTCAGTGTAGGGCCAAATTGTCTTAGGAAGTTTATTCTTTACTTGTCTTCCACTAAATAGCGCGAGAGGTTTCAGCTCACTGGGTATTTGAAAGAGTTCGGCCGAAAACCTAACATTTATATAACTAGTATACAAAATTCAAAAAAATACAGACAAGCGTTTCCTAATTTCCGCCAATTTTTCGGATTTTGAGTCCTCGTGCAGTAATAAGCCTGCCATTCAATGTCTTTGAAGCAGGATTGCAGCATTCTCTTCCAAGTTGGTAAATATAATGTTCAGAGCAACCAAGTGCAGGTGCCCCTCCGTTGTATCGAAGAGAATGGCCTGGCGCACTCGGCGTTGTTCACTTTTTCCGGATACGCCACGCATTTTGTTTACCCCTTGGTGTCCTCATGGATGTTGGTTTCTATCACAATAGTTTGTGGTTATATGAAGGGACAAATCAGTGATTTCGCGTTCTCCTGATGTCATGTAACTCATAATCAACTCAAAAGTGATGGAAAGCTTGACTGGTCAAGAGAGAGAAAAACAGAACAAAAAATAGAAAAATGGCTACATAGGCTGAGAGATGAAGCTCCACGTATGATGCCATCTCAAGCACTCATTAAAGGACGAATTCACGATAAGAACGAAGGTCGAAGGGGGAAATGGCTAGTTGGGAGACAGGCGGACCTCCTGAGGGTGCTGACCGACGCGCAATTGGCAGCGAAAGATTTGACCTCGGCGATCTAGCATGGCTCACTCTTGGCGCGGTTGGCCGGGTACGCCCACCGACTATCTAATCACTCGCCGCAGGTCTATACGCGGTGATTAGATAGCAGAGAGAGCGTAGTGTTGAAGAGGGCACAGCGATGAGAGTCGCATCAATGCGCAAATCAACGGGCAAGGAAGGGGTCCCATTTCTCGGGTTCTGGGCCGTTTCTCATGGTTTTCCTTCTTTCGTGTACCACTCACCATCTCTAAGTTAATTTGAAATGGGTTGCTTTTCAGCGTTGATTCGTCCTTTAAACTCAATTTAGTGCTCGATTACTAAAAAAATTTATTGTACACGAACAAAAAATCTTATTGGCTAAAGGAAGGATCGCATTCTGGAGGCGGTGGCTTGAAGTATTCCCCGCAGAGTTTCAATTGCAAATGCATCTCAGCCGCTTTCGAGCGTTTTCCATTTATCGAAACCCATGGAACCTGCAAGTGAACATAAAGGAGGAAACTTCAGAGAGGAAATTTATTATAACAAGTACAAATATGATTTGCTATATGTATATTCTGCTTCGGAAATCAGATGCACGTCGAATGCAGACCACACACCACAAGTGACGACGGCCTCCAAGTAAATTGGTAACTAGTGGTTCATAGTGATAGCTGATAGTTGGTAAATGATAGTTGTAATTAGTGACAACTGATAGAATACAACTGCAACAGGCCAATCATTTC